TTACCCTTAGAGGAATGCTTGACTAGTCTCCTCCTAGAATCCCTTAATCTCCTTCTTCTTCTTCTATGGTGTGCTAGGGGCTCAAGTTTTGGAGAGTGGGAGAAAATATTTGAGAGGAAATGGTGTGTATGGCCGGATTTTTGATGTGGAAAAGGAGAGGAGAAAAAAAATGAAGCTTATCCTATGATGGTTCCTTTTATAGGCAACTTGGAAATAATTTTTTTTAACATCACATCAACTCCTTCAATCAACCAAATTTTGGTTCAATTCTCCCCTTTCTTGGCCGGTTATGGAAGGAGAAAATGAGAAGCAAAATTGTCATTAATTCCCCTTCAACCACTACCATCACATCACCTTAACATAAAGTCCTCTTGCACACTCCACTAGCCAAATGTTTGGCTCTATTTTTTTCATGCATGGCCGGCCAAGTGGAGGAAGGGAGAGAAAAAAATCTCACCTACCCCATTGTACTCTTGTCCACTTTCTTAAGTTTCCCTTAGAAACTGATAAAAATTATACTGACTATAAGAGAGTAACTTAGCTAACAGGAATTCGTTCCCATTTCTGACGGTTCCTTTTTCTACTGCTTATTTACAGTTAAATGTTAAATCCTTGACTGCTTTGGATATCACATTAAATTCTTATTCGCGTAATATCTTGAACTGTTTACAGTCTTGAAATTAATTCTAGACTGAACAAATTCTAAATTTAACTATCCTGCGTTAATTTTCAGAAATGACGTTGTTTCTGACGGTGTCAACTCCCGAGTTCACATTATACCCTTCTACTATGGGTATTTATCTTCTGACTTTAACCTAGCTGTCTGGCAATTAAGGATTTTCTCTTTTTTTAAAAATGTCAGTGCGTTTTTTTTTTTACACTGCTAACATCATGCTGTGTTTAGAGATTCTTGAAATTAAGATTCTCAAACTATACTTGTACTGAAAATTATTCCGCCTTAAAGTACGGCAAGAATTTATCGATCGAATTTACTTGATCGAAAACATGAACTTAACATGAAATCTGCTACAGAATTTAGGAATACATCTATTGATTCCATAAATCCTTCAGTCACATAATATTTTCTAGAAAAATCCTTGGCTTAAATAAATAAATTGTATTATTTAAAGTCTGGAATTTTCTCAGTCATTACAATGGTAACTTCGTACCACCCCAAAACGCTTCCTTAAGTAGCTTAAGCAACATATATGTCGGAAGATTTGTTGTTCATCTCTTCAGGAATCAGGACCTTCACTACGTGCACCAATTAATTCACCTATAATTCTAATTATTGTCACTGTAGTTCTCTTACTTTGCAGCATTAATACATCCAAAAATCAAAAAGTACGCAGATCTACCGGTTAAAAAAATCACGTAAAAATTAAAAAGTACGCAATTCTACCAGTTGAAAAAATTTAGTCTACCGGTACGTCAAACGTACCAGAAAATTTCCTAAAAAATTAAGTGGGGAGAAAATGAATCAAATAAAAATGGCTGGAGTTTTATGAAAGGGAAAAAAGCAGCAATGGGGGTAGATTCAACACAAAATATTTAAGTGGGATGCATAAAAAAATAACACCAGAACATGTAGACCAAATTTAAAATTAAAAAAAATTTGAGGGGCACTTGACCTGAGTGGTCCTTGAGTGGATCCATCATGCCCTTTGCATCGGACTCCAATTGACGTTGAAAGGACCATAATTGAGCAAAAATAATGTTAATGTAGGATATGTTGTAGGATAAAAATTCCAAATAGCATATATTTCGTCGGATCATTTTGTTGGACTTTTCTCCGTCCGTCCCAGTCCTCTCACTGTCCCTTAAATTGATTAGGACAGACCACCTAGATATTTTTTGTTTGTTTCTTTCTCAGTGGAGCCCGCCAGACGAGGAAAATCTGGCTTGATCGTCTATTCAATGAGTTCCTTTCGCAACTCCATTTTCCGTACATCTTCGTCACTGGCCTCCATTTCCTTATATCAGCAATATCATATGATTTTCCCCAACCAACAACAAAATGGTTTTCATTAACGCTTGCAACAGAAACTTTCTGTTTCTCTCTTTGCTTTTTTCGGTCTGCCTTATTAATGTTGGAGCCATTGACCCGACTTACCTCTACAAGTTCTGCACAAACACGACCCTTAATTACACCGCAAACAGCATCTACCGATCCAATCTCAACAGCCTTCTCTCTTCCCTCTCTTCCAACGCAACCCGCGAATTCTACAACGCCTCCGCTGGCAACGTCGTCTACGGCCTCTTCCTCTGCCGCGGTGATGTCAACGCTACCGCCTGCCGAGACTGCGTTAAGTTCGCTGTCAAAGACGTCGTCGAACGGTGTCCTACGGAGGAATTGGCAATGTTATGGTACGATGAGTGCCTGCTGCGCTACTACAACACCTCTTTCTTCGGCCAAGTGGCTACAAGGCCCGGCGTATATCTTTTGAACACGGCGAACGTCACTGATAAAGACCGGTTTACCCGGCTGCTGAACAACACCATGAAGGAGGCGGCTGTGGAGGCTGCGAGAGGCGGGCTCGGGGAAAAGAAGTTTGCAACGAGAGATGCAAACATCAATGGGTTCCAGACTCTGTACAACCTGGTGCAGTGCACGCCGGACCTGTCGGGTGAGGACTGTGGTACATGTCTAACGGAAGCCATAGGAAGACTTCCCGTGTGCTGCGATGGGAAGTTAGGGGGAAGAGTTCTGTTTCCCAGTTGTAATATTAGGTACGAAGTCTACCCTTTTTACAGCCAAAATACATCGTCGCTGCCCCCAGCGGCGTCCCCTCCAGCTACGCTGCCACCACCCAGTTCCATTACGCGTTCCGGTAATTTCTTTCCATTTCTTTTAAAAAGGAAAAATAGTTTTTTTTTATTTTAAAAATCTATATAATATACAATAAATAATTGTTGCCGAAAAAAGATTTTTTATTTTTTATTTTTAAGTAGATAATTATTGGTGCATGCTGCTTGGAAATGGAATCTATAACTATTAGTTTGTCTCTGTATAGCTTGTAAGTTAATATAATCCTGTATTTACTTATAATTCCATAATGATTTAATTAAATAGAAGGATATTGTAATAACTAGTAATAAAGTTTTCTTTTTTTTAAGCAGCAAAACACTAGAAAAGTAATTTGGTTATTTCTCGTTATAATACCATCTACACAGATAACTAAACACTAAGGGCCTGTTTAGTTCGTTGATCGAGTTTTTAATTCGAATTAAGATGTGACTTTATGTGAGAGTTTTTTACTGTAGTAAAAAAGTTAGATGTGACTGTTTTTTAGAATTTTTTACTGTAACAAAATTCGGATTCTAAATTCAAATCGATAAAATAAATGGAGGAGCGTAAAAAGAGACCATCAACGTGTCAGTGAAGTAAGAAGGATCCCTTTTTTCTTCTCCTTTGAGAAGCTATGTAGGATTTGATACTCCAAAGCTAAAGCTGAAAGTTTGGGCTGATTGGCCCATCTGAGTCTGAGCTTGCAACTTGAAGAGAATATCGGGCCGGGCCGACTCGGTCCTAAAAATAAGAAGATCGGTCTAGTTTGGTCCTAAAGTCTGACAGTTCTAGGGTCAGGCCGGGCAGAGCTAGTCTAACCCTGACTTTTACAAAAGAAAAAATGAAAATTAAATAAAATAGAAGCACTTCAGGCCGGCTTGGCCCGGCTCTAAAATATTTTAAGGCGTAGTGTCAGCCCAACTCAGCCCAGAAGTTAAGGGCGGGGCGGGCCGAGCGCAAGCCAACAATGACGGCATCAAGCCGTAGCCCATTTAGCCCGATCCAAACTTACAACTCTATCCACAGCCACACTTTAAAACCCTTGTCATGGATTTTCAAAATAATAAAGGAATAGAAATGGAATGATACCAATGATTTTTTTTTTTTTAGCGAACAAAATACTAAAGAGAATTAATGGTCTACAGTATTATTATTTTAATTTGTTTTCAATTTCATTCTTTTTCATTATATTCATTTACAATTTGTTAAAGGCGCCGTTAATGTTTCTTCTCTATGCGAACACTGGGGCACGTTTCCAATTTCTAATGGGATTTCTCTATGTATAACATCAGCCAGGAGGGGGGAAAAAAAATCTCAGCTTAAAGTTTTCAAATTAGGAATCATGTTCTTACCTTGCTTTGAAAATCTAGGAAATTGTTGCCAATGTCTGCTTATGTTTCTAGACCTTTACGTAGACTTTTTCGTGCTCATATCATTTTCTGGTCTTCAATTGGCTCATCCAATTAAATTTAATTTCTTGCAATATGGGACTGGCTTTCCCTCCTTTTCGGCTATGAAATACCTTTATTTTTTTGGGAGTCCTGCTTCATTCAAGGGAATTGTGTTCTCACCGTTGGATTAATTTTTCAATAGTTAGATATGAAGTAGGAGTAGTTCTGTGTGGCGCGCTGTAAATTTTTAATATTGACCTACACAAATCTTACTGTTAAAAAACTAATCCAACAGTTAAAACAATTGTTTCTAATGGTGGAGCAAAATAGCATGCTCCATAATAAAGATTCCCTATTTTTTTTCCTTCGCAATTCATGTTTATATATTGTTTAGATAGATGACCTGTTCGTTCAAGATTATACCTAATTTGATATTTTTGTTGTTTGCAGGAAAAAGTAAAATATCGACCGGAATAATTGTGGCCATTGTTGTCCCAATTGCTGTTTGTATTGTAGTTCTGTTAATATTTGGATTCTGTTTCCTACGGAAGCGAGGGGAAAAAAAGTACAACGCTGTAGACAACAAAAATGGTAAATGACAAATTTAAGTTTAACATCAAAAACTTGAGTTGTCTTTTATTTGTCACGTGTGTACACAACAAATTGTAAGTAACATTCGGATCGAATATGCAGATGGTGAAATTACAACAATTGAGTCCTTGCAATTTGATTTGGCCACAATCGAATTAGCCACAAACAAGTTCTCAGCTGAAAACAAATTGGGTGAGGGAGGATTCGGTGAGGTTTTCAAGGTATGTCTCTCATTTGTAGCATATCACTTGTATAACCAATGTTTGAAAATTGTAGTACTAGAAACTCTCCTTAATTATTTTAAAATACATTCTTAGGGCATACTTCATGACGAAAAACAAATAGCTGTGAAGAGGCTATCAAAAAGTTCAGTGCAAGGAGCAGAAGAATTTAAGAATGAAGTTGTACTGCTAGCTAAGCTTCAACACAGGAACCTTGTGAGATTATTGGGATTTTGTTTGGAAGGAGAAGAAAAGTTGCTCGTCTATGAATTTGTTCCCAACAAAAGCCTTGACTATTTTCTATATGGTGACCTATAAATTTTGGCAAATCCCCCTTAGATGCTTATTCTTTAGGAATGTATCTAATTGTCTTTTCAAATTGAAGCAGCTCAAACTTTTTCTATTAAATGTGGCAGACCCTGAAAAACAAGGAGAATTGGATTGGTCAAGACGGCACAAGATAATTGGAGGGATTGCTCGAGGAATTCTATATCTTCACGAGGACTCTCAACTTAGAATTATACATCGTGATCTTAAAGCTAGTAACATATTATTAGATGCTGATGTGAACCCAAAGATTTCTGACTTCGGTATGGCGAGGATTTTTGAAGTTGATCAAACTCAAGGAAATACAAGTAGAATCGTTGGGACATAGTAAGTTCAACTAATTTTTCTCATCAAATTAAAACATGACAAAGACCAAGGAGTAACATAGAGTACAGACAAAAATCCAACATCAATAACTGATATATTATTATACATTACTATTTGCAGCGGTTATATGTCTCCGGAGTATGCAATGCATGGGCAGTTCTCTATCAAATCAGATGCGTATAGTTTTGGAGTTTTAATCCTAGAAATTATCAGTGGCAAAAAGAACAGTAGTTTTTACCAATCAGACTACGCGGAGGACCTGTTGAGCTATGTGAGTATTCTATATATTCCTATGCTTCAGGTACACAAAAATGCGAGCACTTTTGGGATGACTCTCGTATAATAAATTATGTACATGCAGGCTTGGAAGCTTTGGAAGGAAGGAACTCCCTTGAAGTTGTTGGATCCAACATTGATGGATTCTTATTCAGAAAATGAAGTTGTTAAATGCATCCATATTGGTTTACTATGTGTTCAAGAAGATCCCGAAGATAGACCAACCATGAAAACAATAGTACTCATGTTTAATAGTTACTCAGTCACACTACCGGTACCTGAAAAGCCAGCATTTTACAATAGAACGGAGTCGGACATGCCAGCAATGGAAATGAAGTACGATCAATCTCCGAGTACTGCAGGATATCCATTATCTGTCAATGAAGCATCAATAACCGAGTTATACCCTCGTTAATTAGTAATTAGACTAAATTTGGTTTCTGTATTAAGTTATGTACGTCTAGGAGCATAAGTTAATGCTTTCCAAGTAACTTCGGATAGGACTTCCGGAAGCTTAAAAATAATGGAAACTTTACTTATTTGTTGCTAGTTAGATCAGTTTAATTTCAAAACAACAGTAGAAGCTCAAATATAGGTACATATATGTAAATATATAAGCTTTTCAAAGGTTATTTTTTTTTAAATAAGAATCTAATTTCACTAATTATTATATATATTTTTTAGGTCAACGGTTAATTTTTTGATCAATATACAAGATAAATTAATAATACACATTAATTTGTAAATATTAGAGTAATTATTAAAATTACACCATATATACATATACATGTGTGTGTATTAGTTTGTGAATACCACTAGAAATGAGGTGAAAAAGGATATGCATACATATATAGATGAGTTTTTTATGTTATTTTTTAATCGGTGGTTATCATTAAATATAGTAATTTGATAACGTGACGTAATAAGTATTCAGCTCCACTAATTGTTATAAATTTATTTAGTTAATTATTTAATTTATTATAATCATAAAATTAATATTTTATGATTAAAATAATATTATTTATTGATGAGTAAATAGCAGAGTAATAATTAAAATCCCATGTATATGTATATATATATTCCTGACAAAAATTTGCGCGAACTGTTTTCTGATTCTAAACGTGGTTTAATACTTTTTTTTTTCCCGCTGCTGTTCTGGTCTTAAACATTTTAGGAGCTCCATTTCCTACTGTAAATTAATTAAATTGATGCTGAAAAAAGAGCTTTACAGACATCAACCGGTCATGAGCGCCATGAATCCATGACTCGTTTCGTTTAATTTCATATATTGCCATAATTATTATAGTTATTATATTATTTTCTTAAGAAATGACGAGTAAGAACAGTTTACAGGGAAAAAAAAAAAGGAGGAATATCCGAACATAGTTAATATTGGTCAAACAAGAGCATCAATTAATTAAAAACAAAAACAAATCCGGTGACATGTTTACCTATCTTCATGTGCACCGAAGAAGACTATTAACAAAAGTAGCATTCTCTAATTAAAAACAAAAACATACACATCTTGTTGTTTGGAATCTTTATTATTATTATTATTATTATTATTATTATTATTATTATTATTATTGTTATTTAATTTAGAAATGGCGTACTATTTGAACTCTACATCATTTTATGAAGTCATGTGCGAAATTATTCTACAACCACCGTGGTTTGAATATTGGTCCCGCAAGATATTTACAAATTGGGACCCATCAACAGAGACGTCCTCGTATTTAAAGCTATCGGGAAAGTTCAAACAAATAGATGCCTTGAAAATCCAAATCAACCCTCGTTCAGGGGGCAATGGGCATTAATTTCTTGATGCAAAAGTCCTGTCAGTCACCTTCTTGTGTGGGCAGATATGGGTAGCAAGCTGAAGCCTTCAAAACTGACTTTTCAAAAGACTTATTTTTACAAAGCCTCCTTCCACAAATTCACATTTGATAATTTAATCCAAAGTCCCTAACTAATGTAGACTGGAGAGGCGACACCCACGTTTCCCCATCTTTAATCTATACAGGTTCATGAATTTGAATTGAAATATGATATTTTTTAATAATTTTTTATATAAATAAAGATACGTTTGTAGAATAATTTTTAACGTCAATATTACGCTATATATGTATATGTACAAATTTTGTTAAAGAGTAATGATCGTCATTTTCTTAAGTAAATTTAGGGTCTGTTTAATTCGTGATTTAAATTTTTAATTTGAGTTAAGATGTGATTGTATTTAAGAGTTTTTTATTATAGTATAAAAATTAAATATGACTATTTTTAAAAAAATTTTATTGTAATAAAACTTAAATTTTAAACTGGTAAAATGAATAGACTTAATAATATTTTACTATTCCCTTCACCTACAGTGACATATCTATCAAACTTACCTTTTTGACTTGTCACTCATCAGCTGCGTCAAGACGCAAGCAAAGCTCGCTGACAACATACATGACAATATTGATCATCATAATTAATTTCTATAGCTCCAATATATATCGGTATCATAAAAATAAAAAAAATAAAAGAAAAGAAAAGAGAAATTTCTTGTGAAGAAAATGTTTCCTGGCAATTGCCTCTTTGCCTGCCTTGTAAAGCTGTGTTTGCTCATCCAGATCGTCGTAGCGGCCCCTACTTACCGTGAACACGCCTGCACAGACTCCAAGACCGGTACTAATTTAACTGCAAATACCACCTACTACTCCAATCTCAATCTTCTCCTTTCCTACCTCACCTCCAACGCCACTATTAATGGAGGTTTCCACCAAACCACCGTAGCCGCGAACACTGCGGACGCCGCTACTGGCCTCTTCCTCTGCCGCAGCGACATCGCTGTCACCAGGCTTTCCACCTGCCAAGAATGCGCAGGCAATGCATCCAGAGAGGCGCTACGGCGTTGCCCCACGCAAAAGCAGGCGGTAATATGGTACGACGAGTGCTGGATTCGGTATGAAGACGGCTCCTCCTTTTACACAACCCCGGGGGTCGTGCCGGCTACGTCCCTGCCCAGCAACCAGAGCGTGGCGGATACTGAAGCTGACCGGTTCAATGACTTTTTATCTAACGCGATGAACACGGTGGCGGATAAGGCGGCAAATTCACGGCAATTACAGGGGAAGAAGTTTGGGACAGACGAGGAGGAGTTCACAAGCTTGCAAACGTTGTACAGCCTTGCTCAGTGCACACCAGAATTGTCGGCAGCGGAGTGCAACATGTGTTTGCGGAGCGCCATCGGTTTCTACCCGAGTTGCTGCGGTGACAAAGAAGGTGGGACTGTTTTCCTGCCGAGTTGTGTAACCAGATATGAGTTTTATTCCTTCTACAACGTCACTGGTACAAAGGCTGTTTCTCCACCTCCAGGTACGAATATCTGATAATTATTTTGATTTCGCTACTGGAACTTTGGATAGTGGAGGGGGAAAAAAAAGTGAAACCTCAATATTGTGACCATAAAGAGCTACGAATTTCCATGATGAAACAAATATTGTCTTTTGGGGTTGGTAATAATATGAACAAGTGTTAAACTTTGAGCAGGAAAAGGGAAAAGCTCTTCAACCACAATTATTGCTATTGTTGCCCCAATTGGAGTGGTTATGGTGTTCTTCATCATTGCTTTCTTTGTTCTCCGTAGGAAACAAAAGAAGAGATACCTCTCTGTTCGGCTTGACAGTGGTAAAAAAAAAAAAAAAAAATCAAATTAACATCCATGCCCTTTATATAATTCCAGTGCTGTATTTTTCTCTTTATGTAATATAAGTGCTTAAACTATAAAATTATTTGTTCTTGGTTTTTGTAGTTCGCTATGAAATGGAAAGGGGAGATAATCTTCAATTTACTATGGATGAAATTGAAACCGCCACGGACAACTTTTCAGATGATAACAAGATAGGGGAAGGCGGATTTGGTGAAGTTTACGAGGCATAGAAACATTATCTACGCTAAAATGAATAACAAATTACGTGCGAAAATTTTATAGTTCTCATTTTGTCACTCTTTTATTTTCAGGGTACTCTTCCTAATGGACAAAAGATAGCCGTGAAAAGACTATTAGGAAGATCTGGGCTAGGTGCAGAGCAATTTAAAAATGAAGCACTTTTGGTAGCCAAGCTTCAACATAGAAATCTAGTAAGGCTATTCGGGTTCTGCTTGGAAAGAGAAGAGAAGATTCTAATCTACGAATATGTGCCCAACAGAAGCCTTGATTACTTTCTATTCGGTATGACAAATCTGTACTTGTTTTTGGCACTTGTAACATCTTAACAGCAGATTACAAGTTTTCTATTTGTTTGTTAAAGACAATTAAGTGTTGAAGTGAATAGAACAAATCAACTTCATTTTTGAGTTCACGATATCTAAATATTGTAATTGGATTTCAAATTTTTGACATGTGTGTAGATCATGAAAAGCGAAGCCTTCTAGATTGGACAAGACGGTACAAGATTATAGGCAACATTGCTCGAGGGATCCTTTATCTCCATGAAGATTCTCGACTTAGGATCATACATCGTGATCTGAAAGCTAGCAACATTTTGTTAGACAATGATATGAACCCTAAAATCTCAGATTTTGGCATGGCAAAGGTTTTTGTTGTGGACCAAACTCATGGAAGCACCAATCGTATCATCGGAACATAGTATGCTGTTAATTCCTATCTATACCTTTTCTCCTACCAAGAAGCTTATCAAACACAACTTATCTGCCACATTGAATTTTTTATTTTATATCATTTGATTATTTAGATTGCATTCTAATCGTAATTATGTCTTCTTTTCATTTCCTCTATTACCGCATTGACCATGTTGTTTTGTATGTGTAGTGGCTACATGTCTCCCGAATATGCAATGCATGGACAGTTCTCTGTGAAGTCTGATGTGTTTAGTTTTGGAGTGTTGGTTCTTGAGATTCTCAGTGGCAAGAAGAATAATTTCTTACATAATCAATCACATGGTGCTGGAGACCTCTTGTCCTTTGTAAGTGCAGATACACAATACATTAATTTGATTAGTAAAGCTAGAATAAGTCTGTGAAGGATAAATTCACAAAAGCATTTTTGTTTTTTTTTTTTAAATGAGTGACCTCTTAGGAGAAAGATTTTAATTACTACAAAAGAAAGTGACAGAAAGGAAAGAAAATTCCTGCATCTGAACATCACCCTGAACTTTGCAGGCTTGGGGACATTGGAAGGAAGGTACTCCCTTAGAGTTGTTGGATCCAACATTAAGACATTCCTTCCCTAGAAATGAAGTCATGAGATGCATTCATATGGGATTGCTATGTGTTCAAGAAAATCCTGCTTTAAGACCAACAATGGCAACAATTGTTCTCATGCTCAACAGTTACTCTGTCACTCTTCCTGCACCTCAACAGCCAGCATTTTTCCATCGTAATAGAATGCAGTCAAGCGCGGCAGCAAAGGATCACGAATCTGATCGATTTACAAGCAAGTCAATATCATTGTCCGTTAATGATGGATCGATGATTACTGAAGTATACCCCCGGTAGTATAATTGTGAAAACTCTTGTATAAATATATTATCTGTATATTAGTTTTGCACGTAATGAGACTTCTAATACGGCATAAATAGACACTTATAATGAAATTGGTAAAAACTTAAAGCTCTTATTGTGTTTTCGTTTTTGCTTCAACATGGTTCATAAGAATTTAGTCTTTGTTCTACAAGGACGAATCTAGCTAGGGCCTTGATCATTGCACTACTATAGGCGTTGGCTGGGTGGGGGCATGAGAACACCACCCAGTGGCGGAAGGAGGTGGGCTCTATTTCCCCCCTATATTTTTATTTGTTATAATTTTTCAAAAAATTTCATATCTACCTCCCTTTATTACTAAAAATTTCAAATATATCTCCGAAAAATCTAATCTCAATTGTTTTTTCTTTCTTATTGTTCTTTTGATCTTTTTCTATTAAGCCTTATACTTTTAAATGTATCTAATTGAATTATATTTTTCTAATTTACTCCTATGAAAACATTTTTTTTATTTCAAATTTGTCCCTTGTAAAATACTTTTTCATATAATCTTTATTATATTAAAAGTGAGCCTCATAAAAAAAAAAGTTGATGTGATCCATTAAAATAATTTTTGTTAAATGTGTTTCTAATTAAGGATTTTTCTCTCTCAATTACTATTTTCTCATAAACACATTTTTCTCTAATTTGTCCATGTTCAAGCAGTTTTTTTTTCTTCAAATGAGTCCCTATGTACTTTAACAATATTTGTTTCTTACGTCACTCTAAACTATATTTTCTTATACATATTATTTACTTCCTAAATGATTTTTTTATCTAATTTACCTATTAAAATCTTCATTACTCAAATATATTGTACTTATCTACACATGTATCATGTTCATCCAAAAACATAATTTGATTGAAAGGCGCATTTCAAATAATTTTGCTTAAATATATTCTTTTTACTAAACTAAGAATAATAAAAAAAAAATTAAACTCTTCAAAATTTTGAGTTAATGTGTCAGAAAGTTTAATAAACTGATAGATTTACACATGTACTGCTGACCCGTGCCTGGCCTTAAATTTTTTAGACTTAGAACTGGGCTGGACCAACCTTCTCTCTTTTAAGGTCGGGTCGGTTTGACTCAAAACATCATATTTTTTAAAATTTTTTTAAAGACTTGAGATAAATTAAAATTAATAGGCCAATAGTTTACATAAGTTAATAAATAGGTCAAATTACTGTCTTTGTCCATAACTTGTCTGGTTGTGAACCATAAATTGACAAGTTATTATCCATAAATCACGATTTTTGTCCATAACTTGTCTGGATATGAATCATAACTTGATAAGTTTATCCATAATTTATCTAGTTATGAACCATAACTTGACAAGTTATGACCTATTAATTTTTATAACTAAAAGTTGACATATATACTTCCTTAAGCTTTTCATATTGACATATTTTCTACTATTTCCGTTTTTTAAAGTTCTTTATACAATTCTAAGCTAGCCTTAAATTTTTTAAACTTAAAACCGAGCTTAAACGACCGTCTTTTTTTTATGATCAGACCAATCTAGTTTGAAATTTAGTTTCAAACAGACGGGCCGGAGCGGCCGGCCCAAATTACACATCTAGTTACAGAAAATGAAATTGATAAATATGTTTCATGCCAAATCCAAGCCTGCGGATGGCAAGACGGAAAAGGACAAAACAAAATTCCTTTTTTTTTTCAAAAAACAAAAACAAGACTTTTTTCAGAAAAGTTTTAAGATAAGCAAGACGGAGCGGTTTAATAATAAAAGCTAATATATCCGTTAGATGTCGCTTTCTTTTAATACGCATATGGTTTTTTTTGACTTTTTCCTGTTTTTCGAAATTCAAAATCCAAACGTCTATTACTTCCTCTACACTACTATACTAGGCAGCTTAACCTTGAAGTCATTAGCATTAACCCAAATTCCAACACACTTTTCACAATTGTCTCTTCTTTTTCTTCTTCTTTCTCTCGGATTTCGTTCAAATTCTGTTTCCAGAACAATAAAAAATTCCCCCCCGATCTAATGGGTGCTTCTGGAAAATGGCTAAAATCTCTCATCACTCTCAAAAAAACTTCTTCAGATGACCAAGTAAGCTCGATTTTCTCATCCTCTGTTTTTTTATCTTCCTGTTTTACTTGATTCTGATTTTTTTTTTTCTTTTTTTGGGTGTAGGAGAAGATTGGAGATAAGGGCAAAAAGAAGTGGAAGCTGTGGAGGAGCTCATCGGAAGGGTTTGGATCGAGTATGAAGATGGGTATGAAGAGAGGCAACGTGACGGAATCAGAGACGTCCGTTGCTTCCTTTGTCGCTGATGAGGCCTTCGCGACCGCCATGGCCGCCGTGGTTCGAGCTCACCCTAAAGATTTCATGGCGGTTAAGAAGGAGTGGGCTGCTGTTCGGATCCAGGCCGTGTTTCGGGGCTTTCTGGTACTTTGATTTCTCTTTCTCTCTCTTTAGCTTGGAGTATGCAATTTCTTTGTCTCCCCCAATTAGCTTATGGTTCTAGTTGTACTCTGTATTTTCTGATCAAAATGAAACTTTTTATTTAAACATTTTGTGAAATTGACTTCGATAAAGAAGATTTTGAAAACTTACCTCAAATTTCAATTAAGCATAGCATAACAACTTAGATTAATTGAATTAATTACTTATTTTGTTAGATTAATTGAATTCATTCAATTTTTGCTTTAATTACTCCTTTAGTTAAAAACAATGAAGATAAGATTGTGAAACTTAGATTAATTGAATTAATTAATTCTGATGTTAGAATCATTTACAAGAGGAATTCACAATCAACGTTTTTTTTTATTGCTTCTGTATTCAAGAAGCAACGAAGAGAAGATTGTGAAAGTAAACCGGCTAAGTTCAATATAGCTTCAAATTCAATTATGCTTTCCTGTTCCACATTTTAACTGTGTTCATGCCCACACTTCACGGGATAATCTTTGCAGGCAAGACGGGCTTTAAGAGCATTGAGAGCACTGGTACGGATTCAAGCCATATTTCGTGGCCGGCAGGTGCGAAAGCAAGCCGCTGTCACTCTAAGGTGCATGCAGGCTCTGGTTCGAGTTCAAGCCCGAGTACGCGCCCGCTGTGCTAGGATGTCTCCAGAAGGCGAGGTTGCCCCCAAGTCATTCAACGAACATTGCTACCCTATGGATCCCATCAAGCAAGCTGAGGTGTGTCCTTTTTTTTTCCGGAAGTTCTTCATATTAGGCTTTGTGATGATGCTAATTTAGTATCTTAAACATGTTCCACATATTAATGAGCGAGAAATGATTTTTGCTTGTTACCACTCTCTGAATAATTGTTAGCAAGGATGGTGTGATAGTCCTGGAACTGTGAGTGAAGTTAGAGCACAGCTACATAACAGGCAGAGAGGAGCCATCAAAAGGGAGAGAACAATTGCATACTCTCAATCTCAACAGGTAATTTTATTCATAGAAAAGGGCTATTGCTTATTGTTTCTTATGAATAGAGTTTGGATAAGCTTATTTTCTTGCTTTCAGAGATTGAGGCCAAGTGCCAGTCCATATGCAAGGACAAACCATACAGTGAAGCCTCTTAAGCATGAGAAGCAAGGGAAGAACAATTCGGAATTGAGCTGGTTAGATCATTGGATGGCGACCAAGCCGTGGGAAAACAGGCTGATGGAAGGGATCACCCCGGAAATGACTCCTTTTTCTAGGAAAAGTGAAGATAAATCATCTTCTTCCGGACAAGATTCAGTGGAAGTGAGAAGGAACAATATCACAACCAGGATTTCAGCTAGACCACTTGTGGAAAATCAACTAGCTCAGTCGACTTCTGCCCCAAGTTCCGAGTCTCTTTATGATGAGACCTCGGCATCAACTTCTTCTTCATCTGCTTCTCCAAGTCTGATGTTTAGCAACAGTGTCAAGTTGGAGAAAACAGAAGAAACTAATATGCGTAAACCGAGCTACATGAATCTCACAAAATCAATCAAGGCGAAGCAGAGAGTTTCCAAGTTTTCATCTCCTAATATGCAGAGGTATTTGACGGAAGAGTTTCCATTCAATAACAAGTCAATGGCATTTTCTAATGGGGACACCAGAAGCTGTGCAGGTTCCAATCCTTCAGTTAATTTCAGCAAAGATCTGTGCCCCCCAATGTCGGCTTGCAGATTAGATGGTGTAAGATCCAGAAGACAATAAGGAGATCGACAGTTGCCATGGTTATTCACTTAGCTGAATTTGTGTATTTGAGTTTTGGTCCAACAGCTTGTTGTCATGTTTACGTTTATCGATGTTGTTCGAAGTCGTAATACTTGCATTTGCATACATAGGCTTACTGCTGAACTAAAACAAACTGTAACAGAATATCAGTTGTCACATAGATAGAGTATAGCATTTGGAGTGAGAGTGGTTATAAAATAGAATCAACATGTGTATTTGGCTTGACGTTTGAGAATGAAAAAACTCTTATTCATGTTTATCTTTTGTTGAATTCTATGTATGGACAGACACGAAACTGGTCTTGAAATGGGCCTAGTTCTCTAGCAAACACTGTTCTTACATAACAATTTGTGTTGGGTTTGAAATCTTGAATCTTTGCCCACAACTATTGGACGTGAATGGCCCATTGTAGCGAAAGCTTGTCTTCATACGGCAACTGTCACTACTTATGGACCCGAATCTAAGTGATCTATCTATGACTAGGATGAAGCTTTGGTGAACTAAGTGAGTCTTCATACGGCAACTGTCACTACTTATGGACCTGAATCTAAGTGATCTATCTATGACTAGGATGAAGCTTTGGTGAACTAAGTGAATAAGCTCAAACTAGATGGTTTGAACCAAAATTTTAATTTTTGTGAGGAAAAAAAAAACTGTAGCATAACCGTTTAAATAGGGGTTTGAACTTTACCAAACATGCTCGAAAATATCAATAATTCATTTTGGTGTAGTAAGTGTCTTTAACCATAATAATTGTATTTGTCTCAACGCCATAAGCACTTACATAGAGATAATACTAAATTCCAATCAAGCAATAGGGACGATAGGAACAAGCATAGAATTGGGACTTGAAAACAAAGAGTAATGTAGAATATGACCATCTCCAATCTCCACCATGAGCCGACAAAACGAAAACATTAAAAATGGAGAAGAGAGAGGAGATGGGGACAAAGCAAGATGATGAGTTTTAAAATCGGCCAGCCATATCAAAGGGTGGCAAAATTGCCATCCGCAATTACATGCTAAACAGCCCAAAAGAAGAAAAAGAAGGATTTCAAAAGAAAACGAATCTGTCTAGCTTTAGCAAAACATTTAAGAGCTCGGACAGGACTCTATAGTACTTACTACCCCACCCCCCACAAAAAAAAATAAATAAATAAATAAATAAAACCAATGTTATGCTACTGTTCCATCCAATGGTTGGGTTTTGATTTCCATAAAGCAGTGAAAAACTGAGAACCCCAACAAGGATTTTCCGGGTTTTTGTTCATATCCTTCAAAGGAGTTGCTATACCCTACTAGTTTGGTTCTGATTCCTGAATTGACTTCCGAAGCTCGACTTTTATAAAAATGGGAATAATTAGCATGTAAAGAAGAGATATTGCCAAAAGATAATATTCCTGGACCAGCCAAGCACAAGCATTATCACACCATCCATAATTGCCCATTAGCCATTTTCTTATTATCACCCTTTTCCCTTTTCCAATGAGTAAATACTATTTCAATCATGTTATGTTAATCACGGCTTTGCTACGACGCTGCTTTTACTCGTTTAAGCAATACCAGTGATTAAAAATGCCTTGGATCTTAGATTAGTCTGTATGTCCACTTTCATGTAGTCACACACACATGTATATATATAGATATAGTAGATATGATGTATTTGTAGTTCATGCAGAAAAGGACTAATTATGTGGCCATACATATATATATATATATAGGTGATTAGATATCACTATCATCGAGATCATTTTCAATCAATCTTTAAGCAATGAAGTAGATAGGATTGAAGAGACAAAAGAAGGAGAAAACAGAAAACTAATAATATTAATAATGATTTAAAAAATAGATAAATTTGTTGCATGGTTATCAAAATAAGCCACAAAAATGAAATTGGTTCAAGGGTCAATTTGTTACAAAACTGATTTTGAGGACAGAAACATAGGGGAAAGTACTTAGACATAGTATCTCAAATCCGTTAAATGTTTGACTTCTATCTACTCGATGGCCTACAAAAGGACATTGGGTGACGTGAGAGTATATGCGCTAACAATGGCAAGAAATCAGGATGCCCCCAAAAGCTGTAAAAATATTTATATTTGGATGCCCGCAATTATTTTGATGGGATAGTACTACTCATATTGAATCGAGTGATGAAGGACAAATAAAAGGTATGGGAGAGAAATTTAAAGAAAGCTCAAGTCCATTCAGTTTTTGAGTAAATTTGTGAACTTTCTTTCATGAGGGGGTTGCCATGAAGAGAAGGAAGCATTGTGGGGCATTACTACTGATCAGGCCATGGCCATGGGGTATCTCATAAGAGAGCTGCTTTTCTTGCTTTGCTCCTCTTTTATGTGGGTCACATTGCAATTTTTGTTTTATTACATTATTATAGTCTATATATAAATATATGATATATAATCAATTTCACTTATGCCCCTAAACTTTAGAGTCCGTTCTCATTTTATCTCATTGAATTGTAAAAACTCCTATATTGTCTTTTGGATTTTGAACTAGTCACATTAGCATTCTCCATTCAAATTTATGTTTAAAATAATACTGAAATAAAGGGTTAAGTGCATTCTTTTCTGTTTGTTTTTAAGGAAAATTTTATACGACTAGTGACAGTACTTAATCCCTCCTTTTTCTGCATGTTCTAATGAAAATTTTAACAGCAAATGTTAAGTAGGAATAATTCATAATTTAAGAGACAAAAGTGAGAAGATTTTTAAATTCAGGAGGATAGACAAGAATAATCCTATATACTATATATATATATATATATATATGTGTGTGTATGTATGTATATATATTGAAGAGAAAGTTCACCTCTGCTTTCTATAATATCATTAGAATTAAATGGTACTGGCATATACTCATCAGACTTAATATGTATGTTTCTCCCACATCATTGGTGACCATGATTGATTCAAGAAAGAAGGTAGAATATTGAAAGTTACTTTAGCTTTTCACTTTTGTTTTTTTGTTTTTGTTTTGTTTTTTTTTTTTTTTGGGCCATCAGTTAATCCAAGGCTCCTCTTGCGAATATACTCATTTGTGAAAAAGTTGATTAGTTTTTTTCCCCCGTTTCAACTACACAACCTAGAGACAACCAAAAGAGGAACTGTTATTGGATATTGTTTTACTTCTTGTCTAGGAACGTATATATTATGTTACATTTATATATCCTTAATTGCCCATTTAATTTGCCTCTCATTTTCAGCTCCATATATAAAACGTAGGCTAATTAAATTGAAAATCAAGCATTTTAAATGGACATATTTTCCTCTGGCTTGTTCACCATCAATTGAGTTCATAATGTTAATAAAGAAGTGCGAGAGAGTAAAGAAGGAAAAAAAATTGGAAAGAATGCCCTGCTGTAATAAGTTAGAGGACAGTCAATGCCTTACTGTTAAATATTTTTTAGAAGATTCAGCAAAAAAATATTTTTTAAAAGAAAAAAAATTTGAACATTTGACTTTGTCAAATAGAAAGAAGAAAAATGAAAGGCTGAAAAAGACGCATACCAAAATCAATCTCCTCTCAATAGAGGACAAACAATTACATAGTCCTCATAATTCTTTCATGTACTTGTTTTTGATTCCTGAAGAAGTTGGAAAAAAACAAAAATCTCTTACAGTTGGTGTCCCTTGATAGCTGAACAAAAGAAGCAAAAGGGGTTTGTTGCAATTTATTGTTGCATGTGCAACAATAAATCAAGAATCTTGAATATTTTGGTCTTATTTTCCTTCCATCGTAAGCATTCCCAGCAGGCTCATACTTTTTTCCTTTCAAAAGCAAAATAAAAAAGCTAGCTAGCCAGTATTATATATATATATATATATATATGTATGTATATCAATGAGAAGTCCAAGGTGCTTTTGCAGACTGCAGTTTCACCACAAGAAAGCATTGCTTGAAGATTAATATTCCACCTTCAAATTAAATTGCACTTCACAAAATATTTTTATTTCATGCCGACACATATATATACATAGTTTTCAGCTTACAATATTGCTATCTGATTAATTTAAAGATAAGTTTTAATTAATTAGTAAATGTATTATTAATTCTTACCCTTTACTCTATAATGTTTCTACTACATCTATATATATATATATATATATTTTATGTTTGCATGTAATAGAAAACTGACATGCATTTATATAGGATATAATGATAGTTTATTTTTATACAAAATCCAAAAGGAGATAAGAAATGTATATCCTATGACCAGCATAGTTAAAAAGTCAAGAGTATATTATATAGTATCTCTCAAAGATGACCAACAGGAAAAAGAAGTTAATATAAGTTGTAGATTATAGCTAGGTTGAAGATACTATATTAAGGTAACTATAAGAAGGAATGGACTTGACCAATAAAATGTTTGATAAGTAGAGATTAGTGGCCTATATTCTTTAGTTATTATACTAGACAATGCAGTCGTGTTTGATCATAGGATTCTGTTTTTATATATTAATATTATTATATTAATATTCATAAGCGTTAGTTAGTATCCCCTATTATATTATATATATATATATATATACACACACACACATGTATATGCTCGTCTCAAAAGCATCCAACAATATCAGACAAAAAAGCCTAATCAATCAGTGCAATATATATATATACGTTAACATGAGGAATCGTTTGATAATAAACAGAATGTAAAAGCCTACTTTTTTGGCTGTTTTCATACTTTTAACAAATTAAACTAAACGTAAACTCAAAGCATTCTGAAAAGATAAGTTTCCGCTTTTCCCCATTACCAGCTTTCTATAAAAATCACTTTTTGTCCAATATTATTCCTCTTCGTCAAACACGTTTATAATGACCTTCCTAATTGTAGTAATTAACTGTATATCTTTGTGCTTGTCATTATTATTACTATGGGGTATATAATTAATAAACCCTTTAATTAATTGCTGATAAGCAGCCTCTTTATGATGAAATTAACTAATTGTCCTTATTAGCGGTAACTGAATTTCTTCTCTCTTTACTTGCAGCTTTTGTCTGGTTTTAAATTAGCAATACTACTACACAATTGCCAAGGTTTTATGTATAATCATTAGTTTCTATACATATAGGGGAATGGAAAAATAAAAAAGTACTATTTGTGTGAAAGTATTTTAGTCCAGGGGAAATTTTATCCCGGGAATCTTGCTAAAATCATAACTTGAAGGTCCCAAGTTTTTTTCACTTGGCCAATGGTTATCCAGATCAATTGACCTTTTTGGAGACAAGAAGAAAGGAAATCGGAACTGAATTGAAGGTCATAGTGAAACCCAAAGGGCTGCATCATTCAAGCCAACAAAAAAAAAAAAGAAAAAAAAAAAAAGATGGTAGCTAGCTAGAGAGATCATTATGAATCATGAAAGTTCTCTAATTTCTCTCAAAACTACTTTTTTGACAATAATATGTATATTAAACTTTTAAATAACTATATATATATATATATATATCTCTCTCTTTTGTGTGAGTGTGAGTCTAAGTTTTCTGGGAAAAAAAATATTTGCTTGGGGACCCCTTTGCACTGATCTGATTGCATGTATGGCCCTTCGTCAAATCTAAATAAACAATCAAACCCCACCAAGTACTAAACCCTAGTGAAGAAAGATTCTAATGGAGCTACACATTTGCTTTTAGAAAAGAAGATCAAAGATTTTCTTGAGGAGCGCAGCTTTGATTAACCCTATCACTCTCTATACAAGTGTATATAAATACATATACCGTCAAAGAAATTTTTCAAAGGTGGTTGTTTATTATAGAGACCATATATACGATGTATATATAAGTGTGGTTAAATGGTTATTTTAATATTCACCTATCAAAATCGCACACCATTAAGTTTTTATATCTGATAATTATTGTGCAAACGCAATCATTACAAAATCGTCTCTATATATAGGAATTAGGAAGTTGATGAAAATTTAGGTTCAAATTAATTAATTATATCACCGGACAAGCTAATGATCATTTTGACGTGGGGTTTGATCCGTTGGATGAGCTGATCATTACATTCACTTCATTGCCTCTAGAATCCTTGTACATAAGTCAAAGGAAGCTTATAATTATAATAGAACCATGGATGATGATGATGGCAACATTGATTTCAATATCCAACAGCTGTTTGTGTTGATACTTGATCCTTTGGGGTAAGATAAGTCCAAAGTGGGACCCTGAAGGAAGGGACCCCACAATCTGCATGTTTAACACGTGTAGGGTCATGATCTATTTTAAGCCATGTAGCTCATTACAGGAGGATACTGCAAACTTTTCTGAGCCCCACTCCCATGGTAGTAGTACTACTGCTCCCCACATTAAATTCACCACCTCAGTTCTGTACTCACTCACAATTCCGTATCCATCTTCACCAATCTCTCTCTTCTCTCTCTCTCTCTCTCTTTCCCAGCTTTTCTTTGTCACATTTTCTCATAAATTAAACTTTATTGATCATGATATCAAAGGTCACTTGAGCTACAGAATCCTCACTTTTCTGCGTCATATTATTATTTTTTTTCTTTTCTCCTATATTTTAACGTTTCAAACAACGTTATATATACCCGAAATTGCCAAGCTTCTTTTGCCACTGGCTGATCAATTCTAGAGAGAGAAAGAGAGAGAGAGTGAGAGAAAGGGAGATGGGACACCACTCATGTTGCAACAAACAGAAGGTGAAGAGAGGGCTTTGGTCACCAGAGGAAGATGAGAAACTCATCAACTACATTTCAACCTACGGCCATGGCTGTTGGAGCTCTGTTCCAAAACTTGCAGGTATTATTATTTTTAGTCTTTACTACTATATTCAACTTAGATGAACTTGATCTCTACAAATAATACATGATATGATATATATATATACCTAGATGTATGTATGTATGTATGTATAGCTCATGTCATATTATATATTCCCTAGCTAGCTAGGTTTTAGTTTCTTGGAGGTTAAATATATATTGCAAAGTTTGATCTTTTCTGATAAATGGATTTGATATGAAATGCAGGCCTACAAAGATGTGGAAAGAGTTGCAGACTAAGATGGATAAACTATCTAAGACCTGACCTCAAACGTGGAAGCTTCTCTCCCCAAGAAGCTGCCCTCATCATTGAACTCCATAGCATTCTAGGCAACAGGTATATATTTATATATACATATACTGTTACAAATATTATATGTATCATTTGTACCTACGTACGTACGTATTGATTAATTTCTATTATGCAAATTTTACAGGTGGGCTCAGATAGCAAAGCACCTACCGGGAAGAACAGACAATGAGGTGAAGAATTTTTGGAACTCAAGCATAAAGAAGAAGATCCTGTCCCATCATGATCATCATCACTCTTTTGTTGATCATCACATTCATTTCCCCACTACTACCGTTAATCCCAACGAGGCCAATTTCTTCACTTTCACTGCAAACCCTAGTTTGATCCTCGCCGCGGCCTCTCAACAAGATAATCATCATCATCAAGAGCTATACCTACCCTGCAGCATGATCGACAATAATATGATTAATCCAACGGCAGTGCCTGATCAGGGACTGTTTTACCACAACGATCATCTCAAACTAGACCAGACGAACTTCAACTCTAATATTATTGATCAGGCCGTTCGTCTTCCATCATTCAACATATCGTCAACGGTTGTTAATAACCCATCAATATCTACGTATGATTCCACGTGGTTGCTAGGCCAGCAAAGTACTACTGCTACTGCTACTAGTACTACTCCGCAGTTTGATTATACGGCCAATATTAATCAACGAGCTGATCATCATGATCAGAGTACTCTCATGGTTGCTCCAAATATCTATGACAATTCTCTCGGCGGTGGTGACAAACTCATCGATCCAAGTTCGATTTTATCAGCTTATGAAAGCGCATTAATGGCTCCCACGTCCATGATACCAAAACTCTGTGATATCGGTAACAATGTTGACGGTAACTTCTGCTTGGTGCCTCCATGTTCATCTTCTCCGCAATTAGCAGAATTAGTTCCATTGAACGTTGATTCTATGATCATTAAGCCGTCGTCGTTAGTACCATTGACTCCTTTGTCATCACCTTTATCCTCGTCGTCTCCCTCATCGTGCTTGTCATCATTGTCGCCGATATCTAACGGCCAATTTGTCAATCTGAAGCCATGATAATCATCTTCTTGGAAATGGGACTAGTTTTGGATTAATGTAATGTGTTATGTATGGATATATAATATATATATATATATATATATGCATGGATGGATTCGTGAATTTAAGTATTTCACAGTTGCATTTATGTCTTGAAATTTGCCCAAGAGTAAATGCAATGGCCACAATCGGAAAACCTAGATGTTGCTAGTTTAGGCTTTTGATCAGTGAGTAATATTCCTCGTCGAAGTTTCACAAATATGTACTTTTTTTTTTGTCACATGGTGATTAATTTCTAGAGCATATTTTTGTATGGATTATATTCACATTGAAGTACGGATACTTTTTTTTTTCTTGGTGATACCTAATCACTACTCACTAGTCATCTTAAAGGTGGACTCTAAATAGTTGCACCTTTATTTACTACTACATTTTCCTAGTGAGGAATCTTCTTTTGTTCCTACTCCATCATGCGAGAACATCAATATCAAAGGCAATCAAACTTGTCCCCTCTAAATTCAACTTGTTGAATCATTGTAAACTAGAAGTCGAAAGTGGATTCAATTTAAAAGACGCAATCTGCAGGCACTTATGTATAAAAAGCCATTGAACTCCTCTTACTGTATATTCTTGTCTCGGACAAAACGACAATTTAGTGAACTTTGTTTGAACTTCATGGTCTGTAGTAGTGTAATTGCATTGCATTGGTCACAAGTCACAACAATGTTAAAGACCACGAACCTTTAGAGAGAGAGGGGATAAAAAAAACAAAAACAAAAACAAAAACCCTCAATTGGCTGTCGTCAGATTCAAGAAAGCCCAATAACAGGGTTAAAAGACAAAGTCAAAACCTAACTCTGTTTTCCTAAAAAGAAAAGGAAACTAAATTTTGTCTGTATCAATTTCTTTGTGCAGATATAGGAAGGGATTGGGTGCAAGCCGTGATTTGGACCCAAACGGATGGTGAGGAAGTTGTTATCTACTTAAGCAACAACGCTTTTTAAGAACAAAAATATTGGTACTATTAAAAAACAGGTTTAGTTGCTGCACTTATATGATCTCTTGATAAGTGCCTTTTACAGACCAGTGAGACCACTATACTTTTGTTTAGGACAGTAATAAGAACCATGGGAACCATAAAACAAAACGTTAATGGTTACAAGCATAATTTAATGGTAGATCCACACCGTCCCTCTCTAATGTTGAGGTCGAGAGTTCAAATCCGCACTCCGGTTTAAAAAATAAACATTGCTTTTCACTTTTTCTTCCCTTTGTTAACGGATTTCCAAATTGGAAGATCAAATGGAGAAGATTTATAATAATGCACGCTTCATCTCTAGCAGCTACGCCAAACTAGAATAAAGAGAAATTCGTATACGATCCATGGCTCCAAATAATATTATTTAGGATAAGATAATCAAAATTGTAACACTTAAAAAGCTCATTCTAAAAGTGTTAACAAAAACATAACGGTCTACCAATTTTTTCAAAGCCAAAGAAGGCCTTCAAGGTACATGTAAACCACTAAAAGAAGCAGATGTTTGTCTTGATTTTCCAAGCCTATGCTTACCACGACTCAAAGGAAAGCTCTTAAATTTGATCTAATTCATCCTTAACACAAACAAATCTTTGTTAGCAGCAGAGATGCTAAGCTGTAATTCTTGACCGACCCTTTGCAATTCTTCGAGCAATGACTCTTCGCCCGCCCTTGGTTGCCTTGCTGCTCATGTTAAAATGTTACAGTTCTCAGTGATGTAATTAGTTTTTTAAGACATTTAGAGAACAGGAGCAAAACCAGTTAAGAAGGCCACACCTCGAAACAAGGACATGAAAGAAAAGTATCTGCATTTGGACTCAAGATTGGCTAAATCATCACATTCAACTGATTAAAACAACTCTGTGTGTGTGTGTGTGTGTGTGTGTGTGTGTGTGTGTGTGTGTGTGTGTGTGTGTTTGTTCAATCCATAATGTAGGAGTTCAATTACTTTCAAAGTTTCAAGTTGGTCCAATCAAAACCATAAACATATAAGAAAGCATATCAAACTTCTTCAGAAAGCAAGAGAGAGAGAGAGAGACATACCGAGCAAAGAATCCATGATTCCGCTTTCGCCGGATCGTGCTGGGTTGGAATGTCCGCTTGGGAAATAAGAGCATTGGCTCTTTTGAGAAAGAATCATCTCCTAACAATCATAAAAAGAGAACACATCAAGGATGAAAGGTAATTTACAAATGTTAGTCGAAAAACGATCACATTAAGCTCTTGTGCATATTACTTTTACTTTTCAAAATAAAAAGGAATCGTCAGTGTCATTTTGTCCCCCGATCCCCTTCATCTAAAGTAGAAATCCCAGAGACAAGAGAACGGAGAGAACTATTCTCAATTCTTGTGCATATACTACTATTTTTCTCGATTTGTGCATGTTATAATTTTCTCTGTATCGTTCCAATTTTTTCAGGCATCCCCAAAGGGACATGCATACACTATTACTAAACAAAGTAGTTTTAGTCTCCCAAGGGCATATTTCAAACAAATCTCCAATGCTCTTGAATACAATCTGTTAAAATTTTTTGAATTATAAAAATTATGCTTAGGAAGGACAAAAACTTACTCTTTGACAATATAAATCACCAGAACAAAAGAACAGGGATTTTCACTGTCCAAAGTTTAAAGGGCACAAGACCAATCTATAGGAAACTAAATAGCATTTGCACAATAAATTAGCTCTCCTAAAACCAAAACTCATAAACAAGTAAATAAACTAAACTGATACGGCCAAAATACGATTTTATCTAATGCAAGTCTCGCAGACAATGAAAAGAAATAATTTTTTTTAAAATTGTCAATTCCTACGAATAACATGTTTCCAGAGTATAGAGAAACAATTACGAAGATCACAAGAGAAATATAATTTTCCGTCACATTTTCTCGAGAACCAAACAACTAATGATGATGAAGCAAATACCTACCGTCAGGCAAGAAGAAGCGGAGAGAAGGCAGACCAGAGGGATAGAGAAACCCCTCAATCGCAACCTTCGCCACGGATTCCGCGTCGTTTTGGTGCAGATGGAGGGGTGACTGGAAATCGGATAGCGATGGGAACAGCTTCGGAGTGATGTCCAGGCCATGCGAGACAATCGGGGAATTCGAGCTCGTCTTCTGGTGAAGGATTGGATTGCTAAACAACCTGTTTATCAGAGAAGATCCGGTGCGAATTAAGGTTTTGGACGCCATTTTTGAAGCAGATTGAAGTAATTGCTAAAACCCTTGCAACTAGTAAGTCAGAGAAGAGAAGAACCTCCCCACTTTTTTTTTTTAATTTTAAGTTTCAGTCTTTGCAAAAGAAACAAATTAAAAACGAAAAGTAAAATTACGGTGGCACCCCTGACTTTTGCTAATATTTCAGTAGTACTCTACACCGATTTTTTTTTCTCTCTCTCTTGAATACTCTTTCACCGAATTTATTACATTGATACATGCTTAAAATGCCACTAAAAATAGACATGATAATATGATTTACCCTCAAATATTATACAACCAACCTATTATGAGGGGTCATTCAAAAAATTAAAAAACAAAAACATATTATGAGGGACGAATTCAATTTTGATTTATCTTCTATTTTCTCTAGCATTCATTTTGTTTTGTTTCGGGTCCTTTGTTTATGATGATATTTCATCTAAATAAAGGTAATTTACACCGTTAGTCTCTTAACTCTTTAGTATGTGATACTTTAGTCTTTTTTTTAATTTTAATAAAATGATCTCAACCTTTTAAAACATTAGCAATTAAACCCTTTCCGTGCAATAGTAATTAGAGGGTATTTTTGTAATTAGATAATGTTTATATTTTAACAAAAAAAAACAAAATTAAAAAAAAAATCCTCTTTAGAAAAACCTGCAAGTGCAGACCTTAAGGAAAAAAAAGAAGAAAAAACCTAGAATCAAATAGAGAAGAGCAGACGAGAGGAAGAGGGAGATCTACATGGTGGAGGGCTCGCTATGGGGTGACGAAGATAAAGCTAGGGATGGGCACTCAAGAAAGATTACTGTAGAGAGTAAATTTTTTACCGGTTTAGAAAGAGATCAATGGAGGTGGATTTCATGGTGAAGTCAACAGTGACGAGAGAAGGATTTTGTCGCCAACTGTGTACCTCCCGGTGCCAAAGACGAAGCCAACGGTTTTCGAACAGGGTCGACGTCGAATGGGGAGGAGCTTGTTTGAAGAGGCTTCTCTTGAGGTTATATTTTCCTTACATACGACAAAGAACAGATCAACAAGGAAGCTCTTTCTTGCTTCCGATTCCCATTTTCCTAAATTTTAATCACAGTTAATTGAACCTTCTTCTTCTTCCTCTTTTTTTTTTTTTTTTTTGAATTGAATGTTGTTATACCGAATATGGTTGTATATCATATATAGAAGAAGAGTGTAGAGATATGGATATATGTCGTAAATGATAATTAGAATGAACTCTCTTTACTAATTTCTAAAATCCCGTAGAGGGATATATAGGGAAAACGAAGAACAATGAGTTTTTTTTTTTTTTTTTTTTTTTTTTTTTTTTTTTTTTTTTGGGATTGAATGGTCTTTTGCTCTTGTTGTTGTAGGAATTAGGAAAGAGCAAGGACAAATGTTTTGAGTGGCGATGTTGTTAACCAACCTGTTTTATTGTTTCACTCTTTTTTTTTTTTTTAAGTGAATGCTTTGTTGTTCACTTGGCACTTGGCAGTTTTCCCTCACAAATTAATATCAAAAAGTCAACGCCCGGGGTTTGGGTTGTTGAACTTCATTTCATTGACTCAACCTTCAAATCCCATATCATTAAAATTCTCAAGCTTAGATTTTTTTTTCCTTCTTTTTTAAGAATAATAACTCGCAAAAAAATATTCCTGCTCAATAATTATGGAGTTGTTCTATCTGGTTGAGGGTCCTCTAGGTTGCTTTTTTATTCTTAATTAATATCCACATAATTAATATAGTTACTTAATAAAAAAAATATTAATTAAGACTGATGAAAAAAGTCTGAACTCATACATTTTAATAAGTATTTTTTTCCATTCTCTTTTTAATTTTCTCTCTCAATTATTTTGACCACTTTCTTCTTTCAATCTCTTGCGTCAGGCTTTTTTTTTTTTTTTTTTTCCAAATATGTGTCTTTTCTCTGCATTTTGTAGATGTTTTTCATGCATTTTGTAGATGCCCCCACTACAAGTAATATTAGCGCCTTTTCATTTTGATGCGGTTGGTAACCTATTTATGTTTTTTGTGGTCATATTTTCTTGTCTTTGTTTTTAGACAATCTATGAGTATGTAGCAGTCCTTTTTTGCACATTAGGTTCGATTATGATATTATCGTCGTTGATGCGAGTGTTGTAAACAACACTTTACACCCGATACATGATTATTATTCTTTATAGAGCACTTATTATTACGTAATTTACACATAATTACTTTATTAATTTCTTAAAAAAACAAAGCATCAAAATATTAATATTTAGGGACTAATAACATTTTTTCTTAAAATCACTCAAAAACCATATTCTTACCCTATTATCACACACAAAAAAGAAAATGGTATCCTTCGAGTGGAATTTTTCGGTAGAAATGTAAAAAATAAAAGGGATAACAACATGAATGTTCTTTTTCAAAATTCTTTAAAAAGAAAACTAAAGTTTTATAAAATTAACAAAATAACTGTCTTTTATTAATTTAATGGTCAATTACTGATTAACTTAGTAGTCAATCACTAGTCTATCACTGATTAACTTAAATTTATCACTGATTAACTCAAAAAAATTTCATTATTTAATCAATATTAGTTTATAATTAATCAAAATCAACTAATAATTAATCAATTATAAGTACATGTTTATTAATAATAAATTATTAATTTATATAAAAATAAATCAGTCAATCACTGATTATTTACCGACTATTTTACTAAAATAAAAAAGTTCAGCTATTTATTTAAAAAATAAAAAATTCAGTCATTTATTAAAAAAGGTGCGTGAAAAACAACCAGATTTCGCAAAATTGGTACAACTTTACAGCTCTACTAATAAAAAAGTTCAGCTATTTATTTAAAAAATAAAAAATTTAGTCATTTATTAAAAAAGGTACGTGAAAAACAACCAGATTTCGCAAAATTGGTACAACTTTACAGCTCTACTTTTATACTCATTACCTAAAAAGAAAAAAAAATAATTAAAAAACAAAAAATGTTTTGCACTTTGCAGTGTTGTTTGAGTACGCTAGCTTTATGCCGCTAGTCTTCCACATATCTGCGGATGAATACGCTCTTCACGGCAAACCATAAACTGTTTAAGATAAGAATCAGAAATATTATTCTAGCTTGTAACTTTGGCTTCAATACTGCATCTTGGACAGATCCAAACTAAACTTCCACGCAATTGATCAAATTCTTTGCTTTCATGTCTATACCAATTTGGAATTTGGATATCGTAAACTACACTCAGATTTCTGACTCAAATAAAATTCTGGCGTGATACATATTTTTGTTTCTTGCAGGCCAAGCTTCCATCAAAAGATCCGCTTACAAACCCATCAAATTTATATTTAATTTAAAAATGGAAAGGATCCATTACATTACAAGCAGTTTTGCTGGTAACGACAGTAAAACAGACAAACTGGCACTTACTAAAACCTGCCAAATGAGATTACAGGAAACATTTGCTCCATCATAGGAACAGGAGGTTAAAGAACTGAAACAATGGACACAAATAAAATAGACCAAGAAAAATTAAAATAAAAAGAGTAAGAGACCACGATCGACTCTAAATCGGTGGCTAAAAATCAGACCTGCATACCTTAAAAATTGAGAACCCAAAAAAAAAAAGGTCAGAACTCCAAAAGGCAAATGTACACAAAAAAAAAAATCATGCTGGACTGCAGAAGACTTATTGCTCTTGCTGAAGCACGGAAGAAATCCAATCTGAGGCAGCTGTATGAGTTTCTGACTCAATGTTCGGAGAAAGAGAGAGGGGAGTAACTGAAATCTGTTAATCCAAATTAAATGCAAGAATGAATAAGCAACATAATTTCAAAATTAAAACTGAGAGATCACAGATTCAAGGCAGAGTTAATCCGAGTCCCCCGGAACTTACAAATCCACTTTCAAGCGCTCTGAAGTCCAGATCCTCATCCACGTCATTATGCTCCTTATCCAGAAACTGCAAACATGTATATCTTCCTGGCTTTAGCTCTCCACTTCATGAAAATGCCAAAAATAATTTAAAGGCGAAAGAGAAATCTGCAACTGCAATTGCAATCTAAACAAACCAAGTAGGCAAATTTCGTAGTTCTAAAGGTACATTTTAATGCCAGGTTGACATCAACTTTGCTTTATCCAACTTTTCGTAACTCAAAAAGAAATGAGAATCATTTATAAAGCTGTCTCATAATATGGACGCCATCTTTTCCTCTTTCCTTTCTTTGTTACCTCTAGCCGGAAGTACTTTTTAACCAGTTCAGGCTCAGTTTTTCCTGCAGCTCCAGTGGATTCAACAATCTCCACATTCTTCCTTTGGGTTGCCAAGCGACGAGCTGCACCCTGAGGAAACAGTAAGGATATGAATCACCAAGAATGGAAATGGAAGGCACATCTGCCTACAAAAGAAGTTCATCCAAAAAGAAACAACAATAGTAACAGAACATAAAGCCACAAATTCAAACACTACTCACCGCGGCAGAGGCATCCCGACCTAGCTGTGCAAGCTGGATGCCAAGGCTTTGTTGATTGGACATGAAATGTCCTGCAGGGTACCGATTAGCTGAAACAGCTTGCCAATTAGGAGTAGATCGCCACATACTTTGCCTGGTTAATTTAAAACCCTATTTGAGGGGAAAAAAAATATATAGCTAGTATCAGCTTGCAATGTGAAGGTGACATTCATAAGGTAATGGCTCCCTAAATACAAAGAACCATTACTTGGTTCCCCAATCTGAATCTCCCTAAAAATAAGTCCGTGGGGTATGAAGACATTAAACCATAAAAAAAAATATTGTCTGCCACTCTGCCTCCAAGGACTAACTTTTCAACGAAAAGTGAAAGCAACAATTACTCTTTCAATGCACTCACAAGGAAAACCTTATAAAACATGTGAATTGTCGAAGCATGTTTACAATGCCTACAAGCTCCTTAATCGACAGGAACAATTTAACCCTTGGGACACTGATGGAAAATGAATCCCATTCAGAATAATAAATCCTAAAACAATCATTAAGATGCAAATCCAATTATAACCCCAAAATTCAATGATAGGATATTCAATTTCAATACACGCTTTGAACCGTGTACTATTACTATAATTTATTAAGTAATCAAACGAATCTTCAATTAAAAATAAGAAATCAATAAGGTACTTCAAGAACAAAAACCTTGTTTGACAAAGGCGAAGTTGGAAGTTCTACGTTTAGAGAACAATCCGTCGGGAAACTTCCTTTTTCAATATCCTTAATAGCTGCATTTATCAAAGGTAAACAAACAACTACTGCATCTTTGAAATCATTTTCTTGACTTGTGTCCTTCTTCCTACAATAGATTAAACAAAGATTAGCTCATGGATGATACAAACGGTGACAGGTAAACAGTAACTAAACTCTACATAACAGCCAACTAACCAATTCAGGGATATCGACAAAGACGGTACACCACCTATCATTGCTTCTCTAGCTCCAGCAACAACGCCCGAATAAAACCTGTTGTATTTTTAGTTTGAAATACGATTAAGCTTCCAAATAAAGTTTTATAACTTATGAGAGATACAAATACACGGCAATGGTTGATATCCAGGATAGATAAAAATTGATGAACTATTTAAATGATACTCCACATCAAAACATTACTAAGTCCCAAAATTAGGAATGATATACACGCAACTGCATAAGAACTTACATGTGATGGCCACAGCTTGATCCCCGATTAATTCCGCTAATCACCTGAAATAACATTGCACATAAATACTCGAGAAAAGCATGGCAGCAAAACATATACGTTATTTTAAAGACAACAGAATATAAATGCTAACCAGCAAAGGCTTGGACCAGGAAAACAGTGCCCCAGATAACGCTAATGAAACACAATCTGCAGGAGTCCCTGAGTAAAAGAATCATCACCAAAACCTCACCATCAATGACCACAACCAAAATAATATGCAAAAGTAGAAAAGGCGATATCAAACAAAAGTAACTTATAATGAATAATAAATAGTCTCCTTTTGATATAAAGACAGCCACGATAACTTGAGCAATCGTATTAACAATGGCCGAAATGCCGTAATGAATGAAAAGTAATCTCATTTCGATATAAAGACCGCCACGGTTACTAAAGCCATCTCATTAACAAAGGCCGCAAAGCATTAAGCCATTACCTAAATTCACAAGCTAAAATAAATTCGCAATAAATGTTCTCCTCGCATTAATTAAATACCTATAGTTTCGCAATATTAATTAGTCCAAAAGCGCGAGACTTGGATCCAAGACTTTGGTGAAAAATAAAAAGAAAAATAAAGAGCACAGAGATGTGATTGTACCTGAAACTTCATAAGCTGTGGCACCCTTAATTTCCGCGGAACTCACAGCGACCGTTTCTCGGAGAGTGACCGAATGACCAGAAACTGATTTATCCCTAAACAAACCAATTCAAAAACAAACAAAGATACAAGCTTTAAGGATTCAAATACAAATGAAAACACATAACAACATAAACAATGATAATCCAAGAGAAAGAGAGAGGAAGAAAACTGACGATTGAGGAGCGCAAACATGGACATTGTAAAGGCCTTGAGAAACGAGAGCATCGACGAGGGAAGTTAGGCCAGGGGAGTCAATCCCGTTGCCATTGGTGACGAGAACAATCGGCTTGGAAGAGCTATCATCGGCGGCGGCGGCGGCGGAGGAAGAAGAAGAGGAAGGCTCGGTGGAATTATCGGAAGCGTCGTTGGATTGGTCGCCATCGCCGACCTTCC